CAGTCTCTTATGGCATAAGTACAAAGCTGTCTGTGTAGCTGACAGCTGGAGGGTGTAACTGTAACAGGTTTGCCAGCAGGAGATTTGAACCACGGTTACTGTTCATGATAATCCTTTGGTCTGGTCTGACTTGAAGCATGAAGTCATGGATGTGAATCAGATGGGTGGGCAGGCATCACAAACCCTGGTGTATGGACATGAATGCAGACAGCACCAGAGCAGCCTGCACTGATTTCTCCCAGTGACTACTTGAGAAATCAGAGTTGGTGACTTACCCACATTGGAATCCTTTCTGAGAGCGTGTACAGAAGACTTACCCTTTTAAAAGACAAGTATGTATGATCCTTTTTATGTCTTCTAAGTATTTTTTTTCTTTTTCTTTCTAAACATCTTGGCTGGGTGGAGGGTCAAAAGTGACTGGACTGATGACCATTCCATGGCCCTGGCGTCCTAGCCCAAGTTCATGCCACTGCAGCCACAGAGAATCTCCTTAAAGGTGTTGCGCAACTCCAGGCTGCGGAAGGCATAAATGAGGGGGTCGATGACGGAGTTGCACATGATGAGGACGAGGTAGGTGTTGAAGTGGGCGGTGTAGCAGATGCAGTAAGGGTTGGTGGGGCAGGAGATGATGAGCACCAGGTGCAGGAAGAAGGGGGCCCAGCAGAAGATGAACACCCCCAGCAGGATGGTGATGGTGATGGCCCCCTTCATGCACGAGTGCTGCTGCGGGGCCACCCCGTCAGCAGGTGGCAGTGCTGCAATGCGCTTGACATGCAGCCGGGCGAAGAGGAACATGTGCACGTACAGGGTGCCCATGAGGAGCATCATGGCGAAGAACATGGTGATGAGGCACACGATGACCATCTTGCTCTCGGAGTAGACAATGAACACCACACCGCAGACCCCGCAGCAGACCCAGATGGCCACGATCAAGGTGAGGGCCTTCCTCACGGTCATGATGCTGTGGTAGCGGAGCGCATAGAAGATGGTGACGTACCTGTCGATGGCAATGGCCAAGAGGTTGCAGATGGAGGCCACCAGGGAGATGCAGATCATGGAGTCAAAGATGTTGTCCATGTGCTGGATAAACTGGTCCTCGAAGGTCAGGTAGTTGCTGTTGATGATGGCGATCATGATGGTCTCCAGGGCATTGGACACACTCACCAGCATGTCGGCCACTGCCAGGCTGCAGAGGAAAAAGTACATGGGGGAGTGCAGGTTGCCGTTCCTGACCACAGCCAGGATGACCAGGATGTTTTCGAGCAGGCTGATGACACCCAGAGCCAGGAAGACCTCAGGCTTGATGAAGACCTGCTCACAGAACCCACTGCTGCTCTGATTGCTGAAGGAAGGGGCTGCAAGGTGCCCTGTGCCATTAGGCAGTGCTGGCTGAGCAGAGAGCAGGCAGCATGAAGCATTCATTGCTAACAGATGGGTTGATCAGAGCTGGGGCTCCGGCAGGGTCTGGAGGAAGCTGCTTCTGGTTACAGGAAAGACAAAGTCTCCTTCCGGATAGTTCTTTTGAATGCTTGTCCAGTCTAGACTTAGATTTTGTTCTTCCCCAGAATAAAAGGCTGGTGGGGGATGGAGATACACACACACACAGGGAGAGAAAGAGAGAGAGAGAGAGAGAGAGAGAGAGAGAGAGAGAGAGAGAGAGAGAGAGAGAGA